CCTCCCCCTGGAATGAGCTGCCAGGGAGCTTGGGAGCCCCCTGGGATGGGTGGGGGTGCAGAGAGAATAAGTAAAGCCAGCTCCTCACCTCCTGCTGGTGCCTTCCTCTAGAGGGAATGATGGAGCAGTGAGAACACTGACCGAAATCAATTACAGAAATCAATGCCCCTGAGTGCAGCTTGCATTTCTGCGCCCCCCCCCCCAGTCTGGTTGCACCCGCCCCACCCAGCAGCCCTGGTCCCTCTGTGGGAATCCGATGGTTTACTTAAATCCCTGGTGGTGGTGTCCCCAGACTGGTTCCTTCCTTGCGGGCTGAATGGGCTGGGTCTTAGGGAGCGGAGGTGACTTTGTGCCAAGAGAATGGTGGTGAGGGGACCGCCTACATTCAAGGGAGACACTGGAAAGCCTGGGGTGATTCAGGCCAGGATGCAGACCTGGGCACTTGGAGCTGTGGCATGCAGACAGGACCCTGTCTAGTCTGCAGGACAAGGCCAGACAAGCCCCACAGTCTAGATCACAAAAGGAATTTTGAGCCTCATGATTTTTTCACTCTAGGTAGACCAGGCTGGGGAAGAAGATCATCTCAGGTGTTCTTAGTGCAGATGTGAAAATTTGTGGGCCAGGAGATCTGTCACTTTGCTTCTTTATATGAGGCCCCAAATTGATCGATGTGGGACTCTGGATTTTGGCTGCCTGAGTTTGAAACCTGCCACTGAGAATATGATCGTGGCAAGTTGTGTCCTGTGTCTCGCCTCTGTTTTCTCACTTGTAAAATGGGGCGATTACTATAAGATTATTGCAAGAATGAAAGAGTATTAACATGTATTTTGTCATAAAGTTGGCCACTTATTTTTTCCCATGGAAAACTCTGGAAAGTCAGGGCTGTTTTCTTTATCCTGGCCTGGGCTTTCTCTGAGTGGAAGATAATTTGTCATTATCTGTCCCCAGCATCCTGCCAATTCATCTTTACAACATGCCTCTGACAACTGTCTCCTCCTGTCCATGCCAACTGTCACCTCCTGTTTTGGGTCCTTATCACAGCAGGGCAAAGCTGTTACAACTGGCTCCCAATGGGTCTCCAGTCTCCATCCTTTACATAGTTGCAAGATCAGTCTTGGTAATCATGTCGCATCACGTCACTTGTCTGCCCAAACACCTTCAGTTGCTCCCAGGGGCTCATGTCCAAAGCCTGCAGCGCTTGGTCTTCCAGTGTGTCCAGTTGGATCTTCCAGATCTTCTGCCAGGCCCCTCCAACTGCTGAATGTTCCTTTTGTGGTTCTGGGCATTGAACTAAGGGCCTTAACACTGAGCTACTTGCAATCCTCGCGCCTCAGCCTCCCAGAGTACTAGGATTACAGGCCTGCACCACCACGCTCAGCCTAGAGGTTCCTCAAACCTTTCTTTAACCACTGTGGCCTTGATTAGGCAATTCCTTTGCCCTACTTATGGCACCTGGTCCGAGTGAATCCCACCTCCCAGGAGCAGCAAGTCCTCCCTGACAGCTCTCTGAAAGCCTGCAGGACTGGCTCTCCCTTCTCTCTGGAGCCCCAGAGTGCCCCTGGCTTGCTCACTGTCTTTTTATGAGTGCATGACTAACTCCATCTCTAAGTGCTTCCATGGCCAGCACACTCCTGCCCTATTCCTGCAGCCTTTGGCATTGTGCTGGGGACAGAGAAAGTGTTCAATAAGTCTGTGCTGGTTGATGGATGGTGGGATGCCTTGGGCAGGATGCTGTCCCATGGCCGAAGGCACTTCTGCCTTCCTAGTGCTCTGGCTCCTGATAGGTCACAGCTGGATGGCAGAGCACCTTCTTTTCATTCCAGGTGGATATCTGCCCTGGGGCCATCGGGACCCTTGGTCCTCCTCCCTCTACCATAGCAAAGGTGGGAATGAGAATTTGGTCACTGGCCAGGTTGCAACCCTGTGCAGCCAACATGTGCGTGCCCATGTGTGGTGTGCAGGGGTGGGCTGCACCCACTCGGGCCTTTCTGCTTCTCCACCACTTTTACCCTTCAGAGAAGCCTTCCAAAAGACAAATGGGACCAGAAAGAGGAGAGAAAGGGAAGGAATTCAAGGCCTAAGTATTGTTTTTTTCCTCTTCTGAACACCGGGGCTCCTGAGCTATACTGGGGAGGGGCTGCTGCCTGGTTGGGCAGGAGGTTCATCTGCCTGTGAGCGCAGGAGCAGCTGGGTGGGGTCCATGAAGCTTGGACAAAGGACACAGGTTCTGAAGGTGAGCAACTCTGTGTGAGCCAGGCAGTGTATTAGCTGCTTTGTGTGTAGTATCTCACCTAATTTCCCCAAGGCTTGATTTTTTAAAATCTGAATTTTATAGATGAGATGACTGAGCTTCAGAGATATTACGTTGGCCCCCACTAGTCCATTTTCCAGTGCAGAGCCTGGTAGAAGGTGAGGGGTGTCTCACACATAGCAGACGCTCAGGAACTAATGGTGTGATGCCAGACTATGCCATACCCAAAGGCAGCTCAGGATGAAGGCTAAAGTTGGCTGAGTGGGAGAGACCTTTGTACAGACTGGAGCGGGGAGAGGTCCAAGTTCAGGGTGCTACAAGCTGAATGCTGGCCATGGTGGCTACTGTCCACTGTCCTTGTGAGAGCTGGGTTCCTGAAGGGTCTCAGCCACAGACCTCCTGCTGCCAAAATCCCAGTCCCAGGCCCCACGGAAACTCAGTGGAGGCCTTCCCTGGCGTCCACTGCTGCGTCTCAGCATTCATTGGCAGCACTCCCATATGCTTCTCAGAGCTCTCCTCCTTATATTCAGCTGTGGTGAAATAAGCGTTACACACACATTCAGTATTTGGACCACGAGAAGACCCTGGGAGTAGAGGAGGGGAGGGTGAAAGGTTTTTTGTTTTATTTATTTATTTTTTCAATGGCCAGGCTTCCAGCCTCTGGCCACTGGTTCAAGACTCCTGGCAGTATAACTACTGTTTTTCTGCTTTTAACTCAAACTTGTAGGAAACCATTCCCTTAAATTCTCCAATTTCTGGACTGATGCTAGGAGATCTTGTTAGGTATAAAGTCATTTTCTACAACTGGAAAGGTGGGAAGGAGGCAGGCGTGGAAGAGGGCTCCCCGCAGCTCCGCGCCATCCCCAGGCCTTCTCCACCAGCCCAGGAGCCTCCACTACCCAGGCAGTGAGGTGTCTCTAGCGGGCACCATCCACCTTCGGGGCGGGAAGATGCAGGCAGGCGTCCAGGGCCACTGCCTCACGAAAAGACAAAAGGGGCATTCAGAGGTCGAGTCTCTCATCCAGAGCTTCCACGGCCCCGAGAAGCCGCGTTCCCGCCTAAATCCACAAGATGGAAGTTGCTCCCTGTAGCTTTTCCGCTAGCTAAGGCTGCGGGTGTTGCGATTGACCCCTCCCCTCGCGCCAAGTCCATTTCTATCATTTACCCTATCATAGTCTCGTTATTTAAAAATGTATCTCCAAAGGCACTTCAGATACATCTTAGATGCAGCGCAGATCTGATTTTGTGCAGCGCGGAAAGTTTACGAGGCGCCGCGCGCACACCGCCCCAGCACCCTGCGTGAGCGCGCAGAGCTTCGCGCCAGGAAGGTGCGAGCTAAAGCCCAGGGCTCCTGGGCGGCTCTTCCGCAGCCGAGGGTGTGTCACAAGGAAGTGTAGAACTGAGGTGCCCGGTGTGCGTGGGAGCGTGCTCCCGTGCGTGCCGCGGCGTGTGCGCCCGCGTGGCTGCAGCCCCGCCGCCTCTCCAGTCTGGTCTCGCCTGAACGTGTCAGCAACCTCACTTCTCCTTCAACCCTTTCCCCGCCAGGCGCTTCTGAGCGTTGATCGTAAATTCCGTGATTAAAACACGCCGACGAGCCCGGCCCATCCACAGATGGATCAGTCGCCTCCTTGCCGGCTGAGAGAGTGGTCCCGGGTCGGATGCTCGAGAGCCGGGAGCTGCCAGCTGTTTGGGGACGAGAGCGCGCGCGGGGCGGGGGTGTGGGGGGGCGGTGGCCACCGAGCCTGGTGCGGAGACCTGGCCCGAGTCGGTCTCCGGGCTCACCACCGGCGTGGGGTGCAAGGCTGAGCGCGGTCATTCTGGCGCGGTTTGAGCAGGTTCGCAGGCTTCCAAGAAGGCAGCCAGGGTGCGCCGGCACCGCAGTCTTCTCCCGGATCCAGGGGAGGGGAGATCAACCCGGGAAGGGAAGTCTCAGAGGACCAGGAGGCTGGGCGTGCAGGGAGCCAGAGAGCCGCGGTGCGCGGGGAAAGTTCCCATGCCCGCGTGGAGAGCACACGTGCATGAGCGCGGGGCTAGACCGGCACAGGCAGGCTGCGCGGGGCTCGCGGGGGCCACAGGACGCCCTTGGGCTCCCCGACAGAGGGCCACGAGAGCCAGTGTAGCCCCCCCCCCCCGCAGACCTGGGCTAGCAGGCTGGGGGTTCCCAGAGCCCTGCCCATCTACACCACCTGGATGGCTGGGGCTCCCGGGACCCTGGACCCACTGGCCTCACCCAGCCTCTCCAGGCTTCCGACAACTGGCGGCCCAGGGCCCGGGGCAGGGGCAGAGGCGGAAGAAGAAGGGGTTGGAGAGCTCAGCCTCCCCGAGGCCAGGAAGGGGGCTCTGTGGGGCCAGAAGGAGGGTGCCGAGGCGTCCGTGGGTTTGAGCTCCAGCTGTAGCTCTGGGGCCGTCAGTTTCCGGCCCAGGCAGCAGGTCAGCCCGGGAAGGGCGCGCGGCTGAGCAGAAGGAGACGGCGGTGAAGCTCTCCCTCTGGTCAGCGTTCCCCGGCGCCACCGCCACCGCCTTGTCGCCGCTGCACAGTGTCGCTGCTCCGCCGCGCTCCCGCGCCCCGCGCCGCCCGCCGCCTTGGAACCGGAGCGCCGAGCCCGGGGCGGAGGAGAGGGGCAAGGGCGCGAGAGCAGCAGCGGCGAGGGAGCCGCGCAGGGGGAGGGGGCGGGCGGAGGGAGGAGCAGGGAGAGGGGGAGAAGGGAGGGAGAGGAGAGCGAGGGAGAGCTGGAGAGAGCGCGAGCAAAGAGCGAGAGCTAGGGAGAGCAGAGGAGCGGAGAGGGAGGGCGAGGAAAGACGCGCGCAGAGGCACACGACCACTGGAATTCTGTTAGGAAAAAAGTGAGCGAGCTAGGGTTAGCTGGAGAAGATTTTTTTTTTTTGAATCTTTTCTTCGTCTTGGGGCGAAAGAAGCGACTCTGGTCTCCAGTCCTCGAAGCTCCGACTGGATTGTTCCTGGCGCTCACATCCGTCGGTGGATTTCTTTCCGATTTGCAATTCTGACTCCCTCCCTCGCCACCTCCTTCCAGCTCTGCACTCTCCGATCGCCTCACCCCCACCTCCCCAGACCCCTCCTGGGCGCGCAGGGGAATTGGACCCGCGGGGACTCACGCCTTCCGGGACGAGCGAGGGGAGGGCTGACCTCAGGACGGGCTGTTGGCTTATAAAGCAGCCAGACACGCAGCGAGGCGTGTGTGATTTTGGTGGGCAGGGGGGGCGTCGAGGGGCAGCCCACCGCCCGCCTCCCACCCCACCCCCTCCAGCCAGAGGCGAGAATCGCAGCACTCAGGATCTTCAGCGGGCGGACAGGCTGGGATCTCTGCATTGGATTCGGGGCTGATTACCACTGCTTGGCTATTATTGTTTTTTAAAAAAGAATTGATTTCATTTTTTTAACCTAAGGGCGAAAGACAAAATAACTGTGGGATTTATTTAACATGATCTTGGCAAACGCCTTCTGCCTCTTCTTCTTTTTGGGTGAGTACCTGCGGGCGGCCGCGCGCTGGGGCGCTGGCGAAAGGCCGGGACCGCGGGGGCGGGGGGGAGCGGGGCGGGCGCCGCAGGAGACCGGCGGGGAGAGCGCGCGGCGGGGCGAGCCTAGCTCGGGCTCCGGCGAACCGAGCGGGCCGGGCGGCGCACGCGGGCGGAGGAACCAGAACTGCGGCTGGCTGGCTGCACGGGGCGGGGATTGGGAAGGAGCCTTCCAGTGTTCACACACACACACACACACACACACACACACACACGCACGTCGTGACAACACTCATTTCCCTCGAAATAATGGGCTCGAATTGCAGCAACTAAAAAGAAAAAAAAAGAAAGCCCCAAACCCCAACTCGACATGGAAGAGTGGAGGGAGGGGAAGAGCTGATGGCGAGCAGAGAAAAATCTTGTGTGTCCCACCTTTCCCGATCCATCGGTGCCGGTGCCGGAGTCACAGGGCCAGGGTTTGTGCAGGAGCTGGAGGATGGACATCTGCGGGGAGCCCCAGCAGGAACCCCCCCCCCCCCGCCAGTCAGCCTCAGGAAAACGAACCCCATCTCCTCACTCCCTGGAACACTTTGCAAGTTTCTCCCGCCCTTGGGCCTCCGGTCCAACCAGACCTGTGCCGGGTGGCTGCGGTGCGGGGCGCAGGGCTTGGGAGCAGCGGCTCAAGGCTGCCTCTACTCCACCCACCTCTGGAGGCCTCAGAGTCAGGGAAGAAGCGAGGGAGGAGGCCAAAGTTTGTTTCTCTGGGTGAAGAAGGTGAGGGGTGAAGGAGAAAAGGGGACCTGGACCCAAACCACTGCTCATTCCGTAAGCCCCCTCCCTCCAGGGCAGGGAAGAGGGGCTGGCTGGTGCCCCTGATCCCCAGCACATTCATTCCCGCGCCCCTGGCCCTCAGCTATGCTGTGTGAGATCTCAGCTGCTCCGAAATGGCTCTGGAGGAAGCGTGTCCGGTGCAGGGGGGGGAGAAGAGGGTGTTTGCAAGGCCAGGTGCTGGCCGGGAGTCCTGGGCAAGCTGCTGCCAGAGAGTAGGAGCTCCTGAGAGCGAGCTCCGGAAGTGTGTGCCTGAGTGTGTGGCAAGGCTGCTTCAGCGTGGGGCTGTGTAGCCGGCCGTGGCGAGCCAGCCTCCCTGGGAAGAGGGGGTCCTGAGCGCACCCCTTTCCTCCTGTGGGAGGGGCTCCGCGGAGGCCCAGTTGGGAGGTAGATGCGGGTCGCAGAAAGACGTGGGTGGTCTAGGAAGTGCCCCCCAGACTGGGACTGGGGATTCGGGGGTCAGTGGAGGCTGGGTCCTGGACTTTTAGCTTGCTCTCCTACCCACCTCCCCCAGGTTCTTTAGGGACAAGGCCCTGTCCTGGGGTGTGGCCTTCACCACCCTGCCTCCCTAAGTCAGTGGCAGCTCTGTGGAGTGGGAGGGGCAGAGGGAGGAAGCTGGACAGTGCTATGGGCCCGCGGTGGCTCTGCAGCCCATCCCGCAGCCACCTGGAAGTGGACTCTCATTCTGAAGGGGCTGTTATAAAACCTGACCTTTTCTCCCATTGCTGCTTTGAAAACAGCTTTCTGGGGCTTAGAATGATCAAGGCCAAGAAGAAAAGAAAATTGTATTTCAGGCAAAGCAGCCAGATTGCTTTGCTGCTAAGCTACACACTCTACAAGCCGGCAGGGATCCCAAGTGTGGTGCTGGAGGAGAGTACTCCCACCCTGCTCCCCCATATTGCAGGAGGGCTCCCCCAAGCTGAGGTGGCTGAGGCATCAACTCTCCTCTGGTTCCCAGAAGTGACACTGGCGCTCTTGTTCATGGGGTGTGTGTGTGTGTGTGTGTGTGTGTGTGTGTGTATAGGGTAGGAGCAGAAATGCCCACCAGTGTCTGTGACCTGAAGCTTGTGTGGTAAGGGGGAAGGGGCAGGAGCCGGAGAGGAGGGGAGGTCAGCGTCCCCTTGGGTCATAGCCCTTCAGTTCCCCATCCTTTGAGAAGTTCCTTTCCAGACTGAGCCGAGGGCTTCGATGGTTGACTTGGGTGACCACAGGGCATCAGCAGTGTGGGTGGATGGGGTTAAGGAAACTTTAGTCCTAGGGCCCTTTTGTTAGCCAGGAGCCCATAGTTGGGAACTGGTTGGAACTCCCACTCAGGGCAGAGGCTTTGGGGAGCTGGAGACTTAGTGGGCGATTTCAGCTGGGGACATGGTGATGGGTGCACCCAAGGAGCAAAGGCCTTTGGGTCCTTCCCCAGGGGCCAAGTGAGGTCTGGGGGCACAGGACTGTGGAGGAGAGACAGGCCTCTTTGCCCAGCCACCCTGACCTCCAGTGTTGGCCCCCAGGAGAGAATGCCATGGGGTCAGTGACTTGAGTTGGGCTGGCCAGAGGGCTCACTTCTCAGTGACAGGCTAGGGTATGTTTTGGTTCCTTGGGGGGCATTTGGTTCTTTGGATGCAGGAAGGCAGCCAGAGCCCCATGTTGTCTCTTGGTGCCCCCATATCTCTAGTAGCTGCTCCATATGTCTGTTCTTGGTGGATCCAAGTTTCCCGCCATGGAGAACATCTCCAGGATACCTTTTGCCCCGTCCTTGCCTAGGATTCTTGGTTAAAGACTTCATGTTGCTTTGGTTCGCTTCTCTGACTGGTCTTGATTGATGACAAGAGTCAGACGGTTGGTGAAAGGGTGCCCCAACTCTTTGCAGGGCACACCCCTCCCCCATCATAGATGCCAGTTAGTAGGAAAAGGGAAGGCTTTACTTTTGACACAGGGGCCTACCCAGGGTCATGTAAGGACCATCTCTTGGGGCTGTAGGTCCCACCTGCCTTTTTGTGCCACCCTTGAGGATAACGTCCCCACTGGAAGCCTGCTGTGAATCCTGAGCCCAGGGGGAAGGCTCAGGATGCGAGGATGTCCCAGTCTTAGCCCCCATGGACAGTCACATGGGAGGAGAGCCACCAGCTGGGGTGCTGGGGCCAGGTCTGAAGAGCTCAGCGCTGGCTGGCTGGGGAGGGAGGAAGCAGCAGCAGCTGCAGGTGGGGATGTCGGCTCAGCTGCTCCTGCAAGGCCCACAGGTGCTCAGTCCTGATTGGGGATGTAGGAATCTGCTGAAGCTCAGAAAGAAAGATGCCACCTCAGCTTGTGTGGAGGATGTTTCTTTCCAGACCCCGCTGCCTGTGCCTCCCTCTCTGAGCTGATTTCTGTTCTGGTCTTGTCTCAGTGTGGCCACATCTTCCAGCTTTTCCTGTTCAGGGGCAGAGGTGTGGTCAGTGCAGAAGAAAATCTTTGGCCCTAGACCCTGAAGCCTCCACCACTTGGGCCACCCTCTGTTTCTCTTCTTTCAGGTCTCCCTCAGGGTAGGCCTCCTCCTGGGTTCCTCTGGGAGTGATTCCTTTTCCCTAGGGTCGCCTGGGAGCGACAGGCTGGGTGTGCAGGACTCTGCCCCTAGGTGTCGCTGTCCCCCTGTGATAGCTCCGCCCCCCCCCCCCCCCCCCCCCCCCCCCCCCCCCTAGGGAGAAGGCGTGAACATGAGCTTGGTGCTCTGGACAGGCACCCGGGCATTCTGCCTTATTCCGAGGAGGGGCTAGTGGCCTAGGATTTTATTATGTTTTGGGGCTGGAGGAAGTGGAGGAAGCCTCCCAAATCTTTTCGTGGGGCTTGGCTGTGGCTGTGGGGTGGGGCCTTTCTGGGGCAGGGTCTGCAGTTAGCGGCTCAGGAAGGACAGGAAGATGGAGGAAGATGTGCACGTCTGGAGGAAACTGTTTTGGGGATGTGGCTTTGGGAAGGGTCAGGCCAGTCTCTCCATGCCCTTCCCCTCTGAATCTTCGTCCCCATTCTCTCCCTCCTGGGGCCCCTGGCAGCCAGTGAGGAGGGTGGGCTGATGAGAGCTGGTTCAGTGTTGCAGAAGTGAGGCTGCATCTGCAAGGCTTCCCGTGGGAAGGAGAGGGTTTCACGGGAGAAGAAGAAAAAGCAAAAGAGAGGAGGAGAAAGAGCCAGGCCACTCAGAGAAGTAATAAGGTCTGTAGAGAGTGGAGCCCTTGTTTTTTGTTTATTTATTGGATTTTGTTCTTTGCAGTGCTGGGGATTGAACCCAGGACCTTTGCACTGAGCTACATCCCCAGCCTTCTTTATTTTTAGAGTCTCATAAGTTTCTAGGCAGGACTGGAACTTGCAGTCTTCCTGCCTCAGCCCCTCAAGTGCTGGGATAACAGGTGTGCACCTTGGGAGGCAGGGAGGAAGAGAAGCCCGGGGTGGAGGCAGGAAATGGTCCAAGAGGGGAGGGGCAGAGCGAGGTGCAGTGGCTCACCTGCACACCAGCGCGTTTCCCTAGACCGGGCGGGGTGGAACCTGGCCTGGGCAGGTTTTCAGGCCTCCATGTGGTGTGAGGTTGGACTGGAAGCTGTGGAGAGGCTGTGCTGGAGGGGTCGCACCTCCCTCCGGGCCAGCCTCGCTGTTGGGGCTGCAAAGTCTAGCAACTGACTTACTGTCCTCCTGGAAAGTCTAGCAACTCAGAATGAGGAGATTAGGGCTCAGAGGGGCCTCTTCCACCTGTGTATGTGACCAGGGGTTGTCATCTCTTCTTCGGTTTCTTACCTAGGCTGTAGGATCTGAAGAGCTGGGCAGGCTCTGAACGTGAAATGACTTTCTGATGCCTTCAGGGCATGATGGAGGGCTCCTGAGGTTTGTGGGGGTGCTGGGTGGAGCAGAAGGGAGGGCCCCAGCTCTGGCGGAGCCTTGTCGCAGCACATGTGGGCCGCTGCTGTCCTAGACTGTGGTCTCCAGAGAGGGCCTTCCTGGCTTCATCGTGCTGGGCTCCTAGGCCCTTACCAGGGAGGAACAGCGCAAGCTGTGGGGCCGGAAGCATGGCAGCCCCTGGGGTCCCAGGAGATATGTTCCGCAGAGTCGCCTGGGTTCCGCTTCGGTGCAGGATGGGAGCATCGTTCCCAGGAGGGCCCGAGCCCCAGGCCTGCATCTTGGGGCGGAGATTGTGGCGCCCTCATTCATGCTTGTCTTCCCTCCCCACCACCCAGACGAGACCCTCCGCTCTTTGGCCAGCCCTTCCTCCCTGCAGGGCCCCGAGCTCCACGGCTGGCGCCCCCCAGTGGACTGCGTCCGGGCCAATGAGCTGTGCGCGGCCGAGTCCAACTGCAGCTCCCGCTACCGCACGCTGCGGCAGTGCCTGGCGGGCCGGGACCGCAACACCATGCTGGCCAACAAGGAGTGCCAGGCGGCCCTGGAGGTCCTGCAGGAGAGCCCGCTCTATGACTGCCTCTGCAAGCGAGGCATGAAGAAGGAGCTGCAGTGCCTGCAGATCTACTGGAGCATCCATCTCGGGCTGACAGAGGGTAAGCGCAGGGCGGACTGGGGTGGGCAGTGGGAGGGCTGAGGGGGTGGACGGCCAGGTGGAGCACTGGGTAATGGGTGAACTGTTCATCCCCCGGGGGAGCCTAGGACCCAGAGGAAGGAACCAGCGGCCTGGGGTGGCATCGGTGACAGCTGGAGGTGGTGGGAAAAGGAGAACCAAGGCTGGACAAGGGAGGTGACATGGGGGGAAGAAACAGACTTTCAAGCAGGACCTTGTGAAGGGGCCCCTTCTGCATGAGAGGGTGAGGCAAAGGCACCAGGAAGCCGGAGCAGTGAGGGCGTCCCAAGCATGCCGCCCAGAGAGAGCCTTGCTCCTGGAGGCCCACCCTTCGAGGGTCATGAAGTCCTGTGGCTTCCAGGCACCGTGCCTGGCCTAGGTATCTTCTACACTGCTTAGGTGTGGGCAGCCTGAAGGTGGGGTCTCCCTGCCCTAGCGATACCCTACACCCCCCTGCCCTGCTCCAGACTGGGGTGTGGGGATTTGGGCATGCTTTCAGAGGTTGGCCACCTTGGTTGGATACTCATTTATTAATTCAACAGATGTTCACTGAATAGACTGCCTGCTAGGCACTGTGGGAACAGTTGAGAGCAAACTGTCATGGAGCCTGGTTGCACCTCAGGGACATCCAACGACTGTTATGAAACCCAAAGAGCCTTCCTGGAGGAGGCGATGTCAGAAGAGAATCAGAAAATGAATCAGTTGGAAAAGTGAAGGCTGTAGGAAGAGTGGGTGGGCTGGTGGAGGGAGCAGCAAGGCCTGGGCCCCAGGTGAGAGTTGAACCCTCCTGCAGAAGTGCCACAAGGTAGAGAGCGGAGTGGGCGGGGGGGGGGGGGGACGGGAGAAGTTGGGGACAGGGAGATCTGGTGGGCAGCAGGGCAGGGAGCCCCAAAAGGGGTTGAGGGAGTCAATGAATCTGTGTTTCAGAAGAGAATGCCAATGAAGAGAGTTGCTTGTAACGTCTGTTCAGAAGCCACTGTTGGAATACAGGTCAGGAACAGTGGTGGCCGGAAGTAGACAGTGGCCAGAAAGGGCAGGGCAGACCTAACAACTCCATAGAAGGCCAAGGCAGAGGCACACATTTCTGGTCAAGCAGGAGAGCGATGGCAGTGTCTCTGATGTCCTTGGGGTGAGCTTCTTAGGTGGCTCCTAGGGGCAGGGACCCGATTAGGGAGTGGATGGGAGCTGGGAGGTTGGAAATGATAAACGCAGACAACTTTTTCCAGGATTTTAGTGTGAAGAGGAGAGAACAAAGGATGATAGATTTTCTTTTTTAAAGGTGAGAGGAGGTGGAACAATTTAAATTCTGGGGTAGGGTGGTGGTGGTGGAGATGTAGAGGGGAAGAAGACAGCAGTGTCCTCTGTGGACTGTGGCCCTGGGGGATGCAGCAGGTGGGTGCAGGGCCAGGTAGGGGATTAGATCAGAGAGGAACTCTCTGCAGGGTGCTGGAAGGGGAAGATTCCACCTGCAGGTCTGGAGGCTGAAGAGGGAGGAGTCCCTGAGCAGGCACTAAGATGGCTCAAATATTCTCTGAACATAGGAATAAGAAATATGTATAATTATTATTAGCATTATTGCCATTAATAACAGTAACTCCTCATGCATCAGGGTTCACTTCTCCCTGGCAACCTCGATTCCTGGAGCTAGAGTAAGCAGAGAGGGAAACACTGTCCTAACACACCTGCACTTTGCTCTACATGGGACAAGGGACTGTTGTTCACTCAGAGTCTGGCTGTGTATAGTGAGGGCTCCTGGCTCCTGAGCCTGGTAGTTTTGCTTCTTGTTTTCTTCCTGGCAGCCTTCAGTGTCAACCTAGAGAACAATGGGCAGCTCATTGGGGTGGATTTGCTTGGGCTGCAGAGTGGACTGGGAGGGAAAGAACTGCTGCTAGAAGGCCCATGGGCCACCTGGTCCTTTAGCACAGACAGCCCTGCCCACTTCTGTGGCTCCCTGTGGCATTGGCAGGGCAGCATGCTGCAGGACTCTGCTGATGGGAGTCTGGAGAAATGGGGTTGTTTCTCATTTCGAGAGAGCAGTGAGCTACTCTACACTTTTCTCTGTACTTTGCTAAGGGGTCTTCAAGGCCACTTTAGACTTGGGAGGGTCTTATTGAAGATGACTATCTCTGGTTCCAGGTCTTGAGATGATTTTTTAAATTCATTTATTCAGTGACCATCAGTTAAACACCTACTGTGTGCCTTAGGGAATGGTGGCACTAAAAAGCTGAGATCCTTATGCTGGCTGTCTCCAGGCTAGGAGAACTTCCCCTGGGTCTGTCCAGAAAAACACCCCAGCTTGTCCCCTCCTGCTGAAGCTGGCCTCTTCTTCCCTGAGCGCCCGCATGCATGCATGCTCCTTTGTCTTGAACTGGAGAGCTGTCTGCCCAGTAGTATTGACCAGGGCAAGCCAGGAGGCCTTTGAACAGCAGGTCCTGTCCCTGTGAGTGACAGGGTCTACCTGAGAGTTAATTATTCACAGCCAGGGTTGAATGGTGCCCCTGGGGAGGCTGCAAGAACCTCCTCTTTGCTCCATAATAACACTTAATAGTGGGCTTGGGCCTGGGCCAGGGAAGGAAAGGAGGGGAGTAGAGATCTGCGTGGGTTCGAGCTTTCCTTCCCATTCTTGGCTTTCCTTGGCCCCTGCGGGTGGGTGTGAGTCACCCAGACCTTGGCTCCGTGTTCTCCCTCTGCCTGAGGCTGAGCTTGTGGTGCTGGCTCAAGGCCACTGCCTGGAGTGGCAGTGGAGGAAGGTGGGTGGGCTGTGGCAGGCAGGTGGCCTCTGAAGAGGCGGCCGCTGGACTCCTAGAATCTGAAGTGCAAAGGATCTGGAGATGGCTTGGGGTCGCCCCACACTGGGTGGAATCTGAGGTGCAGAGTGGGGATGGCTGCCGGGGTACACAGTGAGCTGGTGGCAGGACTCAGGCTGGGCCCAGGTCCTGACATGGTATCCAGGTCTCTTTCGCTGCCCTGAGGAGATCCCATTGTCGGGGGCCTGTTTCCTTCTTGCTGTTACCTCTGCTAGTATTTATGCTGTGCTGTCACTGTGGACCATATGGAGGCTCGAAGCCAGGTGACGCTGAAACTCGGGCTCTGGATCCTTCGCAGTGAAGAGCACAGGTGTTTGTCATGTGTCCATTCCCAGGATCTGACATTCTAGGTCTGGCCTCATTCTGGGTCAGGCCTGCAATTTCCCACTGGTCCTGTCTGCTGTAGGAACGGCAACCTTGAGTGGACCTAGAGACTATGAACTCCTCCAAACTGCCCCTGGGGGAGTCATTGGTCCTGGCTGGTGCTGCCCAGGCTCAGTGCTGTGCTGCGTGGCTAGGAGCTAGCTGCAGGGGGAAGGCCAGCTGTGCAGCGAGGACTGCTCCTTCAAAAAGTGGAACGCCAGTGCTTAGTGAAGAGGGTATGGTTGCAGTAACACCATGTCATTTTGCCACCATGAGCAAAGCACTTGGGCTCTGGAACCTGGATTTGCCACTTCCCAGCTTCGTGACAGATGTTAAGTCATTTTGGGCAAGTTATTTAATGTCTCTGTCCCTTGTTTCTTGTTAGTACAGGAGGGGAAAGGTTGTGTCTACTCACAGAGCAGTGAAGAGGATGGAATTGAGTTGAATTGTCCAAAGCACGCTTAGTGTGGGCATGCCAAAACACCTTATTTATTTGTTTATTTTATTATGAAAGGGCTTCCTAAGATCTTCTATGGTTTGACTCCACTAGGCAGCAAAGGCTGGGGCCCTACCCCCAGGAGTTTCCTAGAACAGAGTGTAAGTTAAGTGCCAGTGGGTAGAATGGAGGTCACTGAGGTCATCATGCCAGTGATGGGCCTGCAGGCCCCAGGGTGCAGGGCTTGGACAGAGACCATGAAGATGCCAGGCCTTTGGGTGAGGCCACTGGGCAGATTTGAGGAGGGGGCACCACAACATGTGCTGGACTCAGCAGCCAAACTTCTTGCTCTGTGAACCATACAGGGCTTGCTGTGTCTCCATTCCTAGGGGTGGGGACATCCTGGGCCAGTTGAGGAGCCTCCTACAGGAGTATTCGGGGCCCCTCTTCCGAGGGCGGTTCCTTCCTGCAGGTGGCCCCATAAGTGTCATCCACCTGGACTCCTCACAGCCCATGGTGGCTGCTCATGGCGCCTGGCCCCCATGGGTAGGAAGTGGTTATGTGCAACTGTGGGCCCCCCTGCCTACTCTGCCCCTCACCACACGCAGGACTAGTGAGTCTGCACTGATTTCTCCTCCCCAGAGGGGACATTTCCTTTCCTTTGAGGTGTAGGCAGACACACACGGCTCCCCAGGAGGTGGTGATGGGGTCCCTAGGGCAGCCCTGTGCGCTTTATCTTCTGCTTTCCCATACTCTGATGCCCCCAGAGCCCCGAGGAAAAGTCTGAGGAGGTGGCAGGAGGTGGCACAGGGTTTTGGGGAGGAAGTGTTAGGACATAGGAGCAGGGGATTGGGTCAACCACCTAGCGACCTTCAGACCTTCTCGCCAGACTTTTCTGGCATATGATGGGAAGCAAAGAGGAGATTCTTTCTTCTGGAGGGACCTGCACTAAGCCAGTGTATATCGAGGGCCAGGAGATCAGATGTAGCCAAAAGCTGTGTGATGTCAGGCAGGTGGATTCACCTCTGTGGACCCCCGCAGAATCCTGTCTTTTGAAATGAAAAATTGATACTCAGTGGTCATGGCGGCCTCTAACTTCAGATCCTATGATTGGTACTTGGCCTTCACAGGTTATTGTTCTACCTTCCCCATCCTTTCCAGAAGCATTGGCGTTTGTCAGAGAAGGCTGGTTGTGCAGGGAGGTGATGGGGGAGAACCAGGCAGTAGCATCTGCTCCGGGGGAACGTCTGTCCTAGTTGGAGGGAAGTAACTTGGCCGTGTGCAAGGGTCAGCCTCTGATTTGCCTGGGCAGTGCTTTGCATTTGGTGATGGGCTCGTCCTCCCTGCTGGCACAAGCACTGTAGAGGATCTTTCCGGACTGAAAGTGCTGTGGGCAGGGGGAGCTGAGCCTGACGCCTGCCTCTCTTCCAGGTGAGGAGTTCTATGAAGCCTCGCCCTACGAGCCCGTGACCTCGCGCCTCTCGGACATCTTCAGGCTTGCTTCAATCTTGTCAGGTAAGTGGCTCTTGCCGGGACATGGCCTGGTCTCTTGTCCTGGCGGCGTGGCTCATGTAGCCCTGGGCTGCTGTTGACTTTGCTCCCCATCAGCTTGTCCTTTGGTGTTTCTGAGGCTTGGGGCCTGGCCTGTAAAGGAGACTGTATCACCTTCTCCTCGGTGATTGTCTGGAGCAAAGCATTTGAGGGCCTTCCTAGCATGATGGCTGTCATAGTCCTGAACCTGAAGCTTGATGTTGCCCTTGTTCCTTCTTCCCAGTTCCCTGGCTCCTCTTCTTTGGAGCTCTTCTCCTTGGTCAAGTTGCTTACCTAACCTCTGTGCCTCACTGTCCTCTGCTGTGAAGTGGGGACAGTGGCAGTTGGATTGTTATGAGCTATAAATCAGTCCGTGAACCATAAAGTGCATGATGTGCTGAAAATCTTGTGGGAGATTTCGGGAAACATAGCTGTGGTTTTGGTATAGGTTGAGCATCTTTAATCCAAAAACCCAAATCCAAAATGTTCCAAAATCCCAACTTTTTTGAGTGCTGATGTCCTGCTACAGTGGAACATCTCACCCCGACCTCATGTGATAGATGCTGTGCACTAAAAATATTGTGTAAATTTACCAATATATCAGTTGCATACGAAGCAATTGCATTTTGTGTTTGGGTTCCACCCCCAAGATATCTCATTATGTATATGGAAATATTCCAAAGTCCCAAAATATAATCTGAAATTGGAAGCACCTCTTGTCCTAAGCATTTTGGATAAGGTAGACTCACCTAGATTGCTAGTGTTGCCACTCTTTGGTCTGCTGTGGGTCCTCCCTTGGCTTTTGAACCACTGAGGAAGGCATCCCAGGGAGGACTCCCCAGTCCCAGGCATTTCCCACCCTGGCCTTCCCCGGGGAGCGAGAGAGATCATGCGGGCCTCTGGCTTTGCTTGCTGGGTCAGTGCGTAGAAGGCAAATGAGCTTTCTGGTCCTTTTTCCTTGGCCTTGGCCTCTCTGGCATTAGGGAGACCCTGGGCTCAGGGTTGACTGTCGTGCTTCGGCATTGGTGGGGGTCCGCATCTTGGTGTCACTTGGAGCTCTGGGGAGGATGAGCTCAGGTGGCCAGGGCAGGGCTTGTTCTCTGCTGGCTCCAGGTTTCCAGGTGCTTCTGTGGCAGTCTTGGAAGGCTTCCTTCTGGGGGTCTGAGTGCTTTCTGAGTAGCAGCACTGTCGACACTTTGGCCTGAGTATCTCTTTCTTCCAGAAGAACCACCCTGTGTGTGGTAGGAGGTTGTATCATCCCTGGTCTCTATCCATTAGACGTGCCAACACATCCTCAAGTCGTGATAACCCTAAATGTCCCCAGACATGGCCAAATGTCCCTGTGGGGCGCAGTCACTGCCAGCTGAGAATTACTGCTATAAACAATGAATCAGGAGACTTTCTAGTGAGAGTCTGAACCTTTCCAATGAAGAATTCTCTATGACAATGTTTCTCAACCATTTTTTCATTATCATCGCCCCATGAGAAAAATTAATTTACCCTAACTAAGGAAATTAAAGACCAAGAAATACAAATTTGTCACAAAGTCGAGTTTTAGAACAGCACAAATCACTGTAATACCCACTTTCTTTTCCTACCCGAGAATCAATGTTTGCTCTTATGAAGTGACACCCCAATGTCGGGAATGCCTGCTCTAGATGTTGGAGATGGGGTTGGTATGTATGTTCCTGGTAGCAGAAATCCGGGCCTCGTATGAAGAGGGAGGCACCGGCCAGCATGTTAATCAGCTCTGTTACTATAACAAATACCTGAGATAATAAACTTTTAATTAATTTATTTATTTTTTACATTCTTTTATTGGTCCATTGTAGGTATACAGCACAATTACATTTCTCATTGGGAATTGTACCTTTACATGATGCATCTTGGTTCTTATTTTTTCCCCATTCCTAGCCCTCCCTTCACCCCCTCCACCCTTCCCTATTTACAAAGACTTTGTTTCCATTTTTTCCATTTCTCATCATTTTTCCTTTCCCTTCTTTCCTTTCCCCTGTCCCTCCCACTACCCCTACCCCTTTGGACCTTTTCTTCCTGTTTTGCATTATCGGTTATTCATTCTAATCATGGGTACATTTTAGGTATACAATATACTGGCATTCCTCATTGGAAATTTGCACCTTTACATAATCTGAGATAATAAACTTATAAAGAGCAAAGGTTACTTTGGCCCAATTTTAGAGGTTTCTTTCTATGATCAGTTGGCCCTGTTGCTGGCACATCATGATGGGAGCTTGTGGTAGAGCAAAACTGTTTGCTCCATGGCTAAGAAGTAAAATAGAGGGAGAGAAGAGACTGGCTCCTCATAGTCCCTTTCCAGAGATGCCTCCACTGACTTAAGGACCTCCCCACTGAGTCCACTTCTTAAAGTTTCCACCACTTCCCAATAGTGCCAGTCAGACACACAGGCCTTGGGGGACATGCCAGATCCAACCTGCAGTGGCCTGTTGGACATGGCCTTCGATTCTAGCAGTGGTTGTGGGTGGTAGAGAGTGGAATGGAGACCTCAAAGCTGATCAGTTACTTTGAGAACCCTGCCCTTGGTTCCCACTGTCAATCTCCACCCCGGCTTGGGGGATCCTAGCAGAAGCAGTGGGCTCCAGGAGTCTTGTATTGACTCTTGCCCACCCTCCAAAGCTGGGTTAGATGATGGCCCGACTGAATTCCCTTCTAATTAGCATTTGGATTGTCACATTTCCTGGTTAGTTTCAGATTGGTTTGTCTGAGACAGTGCTCTGCCACTCAGATGTCAGACGAGACATTGGTGGCATAGGCGTGGTATGGTGGGGATCCCTGGGTGGCCCAGATGCACCCCTATCTTATTCCCTCCGCCTTGCCAGGTACCAGCTGACTACTACTGTATGGGTAGGTGGCATTGAGTTTTCCCTGGTAAAAATGTAACTTTGGCTTGTTTCCTGAATGCTGCAGCTCTGAGGTCCTCACCTTACCCCTGTTGCTTCCTGGAGTCAACACTTAAGTATCTTCCTAGCAGAAAATCTTTATGTAATGGACTTGACACTCTATGAGACAGGGATGTTGACAAGACAAATGAGGAAATTACTGGATGTGCAACTCACTTAATCAGCTCCCTATTGCCTGCTGTCCAGAGATAACTGGGCCCCACATAGCCCTGGATCTCTGAACTCTGGGGCCACTCCCCACCACGTGGGCTATGTAGGCTTTGGAGTCTGTGACAGTCCCTCCTGATTATAGCTGTGGATTCTGCTCCACCCAGAGCAGCCCCGGAGCTGGGCAAGTGGGTGTCTCTGTCTGGGGAAAGTTGGGGACAGCTGGAAGGGGAGGCCACCAAGAAACCAAGTGGACCATTGTGGGGCGCATAACAGAAAGAAGGGAGGAGTGAGAGCCAGGAGACTGACTCTACCTCAGTTTCTGCCTAGATCCCCCATGGGCTCTTGGGCATGTCATTTCCTGTCTCCAGATCTTCTTGTTGTTGTAGTTTTTTTTTTTCCCTGAAGAATGAAGACATAAGCTTAGAGCAGTGCATCCGGCTCTGTATCCCACAAAGGCATACAGAAAAGAATGGCATGGTGGGGGCCGGGGATTTAGCTCAGTGGTTCTGCCACCTGCCTCAAAAAAGCAAGGTTGCGAGTTTGATCCCTGGTGCAAAAAAAAAAAAAGAATGGCATGGTGGGTGGGCAGACCAGCTTGGAGTCCAGGGGGTCTCAAGATCCCGTGCCTGTGCTTTGGGGTTATAAAGGTGCCTCCCTGAAGGATTGCATGCAGTTAGTAGAAGTCCCTCCTGCTGCCACATACCTGTACTTGGCTCTGTGGAGCTCCTCTACCATGTCTGTATGGAAAGGCCAGGAGCAGGGCACAGAGTCTTGGTGGCCTCTTCTGGGCTGCCCTGCCCAGCTGGGGCACCAGGGAAGGAGGCTGTTGTACCTTTCGGGTACAGTTGCCTCTTTCTCCTCCTCATCTCCTGACTTGAGATTTGGTAGCAGGAGTGTGAGTCCCTCATTGCCTGCAGTCTCTCCGTGTTGAGGTTCTTGGAAAGTCCTGTTGGGGTTATGTTGGCAAGGAGAGATGCCAGGATTCCTGTAACCTCCTGCATCTCCCCTCCACTCTCCCTCGTCCCATCTGCAGGCCCTGGATACAGTAATCAGCCAGTTCTGGGTTCACAGTGATGTGGGGCCCCTGCTTTCACAGCACGCGCACATTAGAAATATCCAGATGTCCATCCTCACCTGGAACATGAAGGAGAGATCTCCTGGAGAAGATACAAGTTTTGTCCTGGGTCTTGCAAACAGGAAACAACATTTAAGGAGGTGCCTGGTGCATGGCAAGAGCATGAGCCTTTGGCCAGACATTCCAGGCTTTGAATCCTGGCTTGGCTTCTTGGGAGCGTGTGCTAGCCTTCTGTCACTGTGACAAAAAACCAGAGTTAAACAAGTTGAGAGAAAGCTTGTTCTGACTTGTGACTTTAGAGGTTTCAGTCCATGGTTCTGGTTCTGTTGCTTTTGGGCCCATGGCAAGGTGGAATATCATGGTGGAATTGCATTTGCATGACAGTGGTGGCTGTGAAGGGTGGGGAGAGAGAGAGAGAGAGAGAGAGAGAGAGAGAGAGAGAGAGAGAGAGAGAGAGAGAGAGAGAGAGAGAGAGAGAGAGAGAGAGCGAGAGCGAGAGAGCATGCAGGTACACCCACAGTGATCCAACTTCCTTCCACTGGGCCCCACCTCCTAAAAGTTCTACCATCTCTCAATAACACCATCAGCTGGGACCAAGCTTTCAGCACATGAGCCTTTGGGGGCTGTAAGATCCCAACCATAACATCACTGTGGCCATTTCGAGCTGTGGTTCTTGTGTTTGTAAGTTTGGTTGGTAAGGAGGATTCAGTGAGGATGGACAGAGGCAATGCACTCACTGTGTGCTGGAGACCGAGTTGGGCTTGACAGGGTGGCGTCCTCTCTCAGTGGGGGGGTGTGATGGGGATGCGAGGTTGGAGGGG